CAGAGCTGCTGGCGGATTGAACGGTGTCGAATTCGAGGGCAATAAATTGCACTCCGAGCCATTGGATAAAAATCAACGTCGTACTAATCGCAACCAACGCAATCCATATCCCGGTATGCCAGGACCCGGACGTCAAGCTGATTTTCCGCTGCGCATTCTTGTGCAAAGCGAAATGGTTGGCGCCATTATTGGCCGTCAAGGTAGCACCATACGTACGATAACACAACAGAGTCGCGCACGTGTCGATGTGCATCGGAAGGAGAATGTCGGTTCGCTAGAGAAGGCCATAACCATTTATGGTAATCCGGAGAATTGTACAAATGCATGCAAGCGCATTTTGGAGGTGATGCAACAGGAGGCCATCTCAACGAATAAGGGGTGAGTTACGCATGCGCAGTGTGGTTCATATTTCAATTTTAATATTGAAAAAATGGCCATGCATGGTTAAATTTTTTTAAAGAAATTTATGTAAATTTTGATCTTTTTTGATAATAAAGGCAATAGTTACGCGATTTTGTGGAAATTTTAAGACAAATTTTTTTCCCAATTTTATTTTTTAAAGCTAAAATTGGTTTAATTCATTTTCTTATCATTGCTTTTTATAAACAAATAAATATGTAAAAATATAAAAAAAATTAAATTTTCCGAATTCATAAATAAAAAATATATATATTTTTTTCAACAGATGTAAGATAATATGAATTTTGCTGAACCAAAGAGCAAAAATAAAGAAATAAAAAAAATAATTCTATAGCCCGGCAGGTTCTGCAATTCACTTCCGAGTGAATTTGAGTCAAGTTCCCTTTGAATTCAAATTGGCACGGGTTGAAATTCACTCGGAAATGAATTCCAGAACCTGCCCGATTATCTAGAATATTAAGGAAATAGTTTANAAATTTTAAGACAAATTTTTTTCCCAATTTTATTTTTTAAAGCTAAAATTTGTTTAATTCATTTTCTTATCATTGCTTTTTATAAACAAATAAATATGTAAAAATATAAAAAAAATTTAAATTTTCCGAATTCATAAATAAAAAATATATATTTTTTTTTTTCAACAAATGTAAGATAATATGAATTTTGCTGAACCAAAGAGCAAAAATAAAGAAATAAAAAATTTAATTCTATAGCCCGGCAGGTTCTGCAATTCACTTCCGAGTGAATTTGAGTCAAGTTCGCTTTGAATTCAAATTGGCAGGGGTTGAAATTCACTCGGAAGTGAATTCCAGAACCTGCCCGATTATCTAGAATATTAAGGAAATAGTTTCAAAACTTCCAGAAATAAAGCTTAATTTGGAGATTTCATCATGCAGTTAATAAGCTTGACAAGGAGAATATGTTCAGTCTTACAAATATCTAAATACCCAAAAATGGTGAAGATGTTTTGTTTGTCTATANAAAACTTCCAGAAATAAAGCTTAATTTGGAGATTTCATCATGCAGTTAATAAGCTTGACAAGGAGAATATGTTCAGTCTTACAAATATCTAAATACCCAAAAATGGTGAAGATATGTTTTATTTGTCTATATTTTTTTTGTATACCAACTGTGTATAGAAAACGATCAAACTTTGACGAATTTTTTCCACAAACTTGAAATCGTGAAGTAAGAAATTTTAAAGTTTTGAAAAACTACAAATTTTAATTAATTTTAAGATGAGATTTCCGATACAGTCAAAAATAATAAGTGTGTAATCTAAAAAACTCTTAAATTTTCGAAAATAACACAAATTTCTCTTTCAAAAGTTTTTCTTTTAACGTTGAGTAAAGTAAATCGTAAAATTCCGAAGTCGTAAATTTAAAATTTTAAGAAATTCACTTGAAACGGCTTACAAAATATTCAACGTAAAAATTTTCAAAAGCTTTAAAATTAATAAAAAAGTAAACTCTCTTAAAATTTGTGATTGGTTTGAAAATATACAAAACAAGATAGAGGCAACTTTTTTCATCACTCTAAAATCATCTGCTAGAAATATAAATTAAAAGCAAAAAAGTTTATTTTTTAATATTTTAAAATTGGTAAATCTTTCGTAGTTAAAATCAAAACCAAAAATCTTAAAACCGAAGTTTAAGAAAGAAAAAAAATTTGTGGGTTCCCTGCAACANTTTTAATATTTTAAAATTGGTAAATCTTTCGTAGTTAAAATCAAAACCAAGCATCTTAAAACCGAAGTTTAAGAAAGAAAAAAAATTTGTGGGTTCCCTGCAATGGTTAAACCAAAAATTTTCAGAAATAATTTTTGTAGGTCTTTTCTTCAATTTTGAAGAAAGAGTCTAACTAGAAAATACTGATACATCTCGTCAAAATTGATAGGAACTAAACAAATTAAATTTAGTAAAAACTTACAGATTAAGAAAATTTATAAATTTAATACTTACAATTTAAAAACCATTAAAACGTAAAAAATACAAATTGAAAAGAATTTACAAATTAAACAATTACAAAATTGTAAATTATGTACAAAAAATTTAATTTACAAATTAAAAAACTTTCATACATAAATTCTTCAGATTTTTCAGCTATGTTTTTTTAAACAACTTTTCAGCTCTATCAAATATCTATGTCTTACCGTATTTTTTTGTTTCAAATTTAACCCATTCGACTCATGTCCTCTGATTTTAACTGTATTTATTCCTTCGCCCTTCCAACAGCGACATCTGTTTGAAAATTCTCGCCCACAACAATCTCATCGGTCGCATTATTGGCAAAAATGGCAACACCATAAAGCGTATCATGCAAGAGACAGACACCAAGATCACCGTCAGCTCGATCAATGACATCAGCAGCTTCAATTTGGAACGCATAATTACGGTTAAGGGCCAAATTGACAATATGTCACGTGCCGAAGCGCAGATTAGCTCGAAATTGCGTCAAAGCTACGAGAATGACTTGCAAGCAATGGCACCACAATCGCTTATGTTCCCCGGCCTCCATCCGATGGCCATGATGTCGACACCCGGCAACGGTATGGTCTTCAATCCCAGCATGCCATATCAATCGTGCCCGGGCTTCCCGATGTCTAAGACACCGGCGAGCGTGGTGCCGCCCGTCTTCCCCAATGACATGCAGGAGACCACATACCTCTATATACCGAATAATGCGGTGGGTGCGATTATCGGCACCAAGGGCTCACATATACGCAGCATAATGCGTTTTTCGAATGCCTCGCTCAAGATCGCCCCGATCGACACCGATAAGCCGGCCGATATGCAAACCGAACGAAAGGTGACGATCGTCGGTACGCCGGAGGGTCAATGGAAGGCGCAGTATATGATTTTCGAAAAGATGCGCGAGGAGGGTTTCATGTGCGGCACCGAAGATGTGCGACTAACTGTCGAAATAATGGTGGCCAGTTCGCAGGTGAGTTACGCTTAAAATGGTG